ATAGATATTCAAGAATACCAGGCAAGATGAACCTTGTGGAAATACACACCACAACTGTTACAAGGCTTTACAAAAGTCACCCCACCACCAACCCCTATTTAGAAACCATTCCACTGATAGGAATGGAACCACTATGAAACAATGCCTTCAATTTTCAACTCACAGAGATGCCTCAGTATGATTCTATATCAACAGCATCAAAAACTGCTAAATAGAAGAAACAACAGGATGATACGCCTCTGCTTTACTCCTATATAAGGTTAATTACCAAAGTAACCAAGCTACTTTCTGTGCTAGTCTGTGATGAGTCCAGAAAAATTTGTAACATCTATTATTACCACAATTCACCAGTTATCAGTTCACCAAATCCTGCCCCAAAAGGGAATGTTGACAACAGATATTTCTGGATATCTTCAAATCTGTTGTCATCTTTCCTTCCATTAATGTGACATCCATTACTCTCTTAACCCATTCTCATATTCTTAACCAGCTTGCTTCTGAGACCTACTAAGAACAAAAATCAAAAGGACAGATAATCAAGAAAATATCTTGAAGAACTTTGTCAATCTCCTCAAGTCTCACTGGCAAAAGTGATTCTATAGTAAATAATCGGATGGTGTGCTGACAACCTCTCCTAGTTTTGGCAGACTTTAGCAATTTTGCCAATAAAGTGCATGACAAACTTATTGTTTTGCTTCTGCCAGCTAGAACTTGACAAAATGTCACATTGACAATCTTTGGAAAAGTTCATCTGGGTAATTCAGTGGGACACAGTGGCTCTTTGACAACATAATTAGTGCTGTGAACACAAGTGTTGTCTTTGCCTTCGTAAGTACCACATAGTTAGTGCATTGGCATTTTTAACATCTATGCTTCAATTATATCCCCCTCCCATTTCATTCCTGTATGCTTTTCACTAAACTAAGGAGCCCTGTGAACTCTCACTACTTCATGGTTAAGGTTTCAAAAAGGGATGTGGTAATAGCTTTCAGGAACTGATACAATTTCATAAGTCTTAGGAAGCATAGTAGATCCTTACTCCTGAATAGGAATGGAAATCTATCTAAATCATAACAGGAAGTGATCCAATCATGACAAAGGAGTAACTTTCCCTCTTTAACTATCACTTCACTTTCCAGCAACTCAGAAGAAAAAAACAGATCAACTGCTGCATAGTGTATCTGGCTTCTGATATATTTTTAATGGCCATGAAGTTCTCAGTTAGTCCATTTCCAGGATCACCGGCATGGGCATTGAGATCCACAAGCACCAAAATCCTAAGATTCTAAGGACCATATTGGAGAGCACCAGCTGTTGGACTAGCAACAAAGTACTCTATTCCCCCTTCCTCAACCTACCACAAGTATAGTCCCTGAGGAATCTGATTAATGGAGAGGGAATATATTCCCTAAAGATGACTGTAATTCTACCACACAATCTACCTTGATGTTGTACAACATCTCCAGCCAGGCTTATATGGGTTAAATTCAGGCCACCCACCTCTCCTATCCTGGTCTCTACAACACAACCAGACCAGCCTGATGATCCACAAGAAGATCATGGATATAAACTATTTTATTGTGAACTAATCTGGCATTCTGCAACTGAAGCAGGAGATGTGTGAGCCAACCGGTTTGACTATTGAATCTTGGTAACCTAAGAGCAGCCCTAAGGGTGCTATATCTTTTGTGTCTGGGAAGAATGTTATAACCCCCCCTCTTTTTCCCCTGTCCCACAGGTTGCCCATCCCTTGACTATTGCAAGAAAACTTAAGTCCAAGATAACCAGCAGGTGCACCCTATTAATGATGGCATCCAAATACACGTTTGTAGATTTGGCTGAGCTCCTAATCCTTTAACAGCAGTCTGATGTGCAATAATTAAGCATGTATAATAATTAAACATGTACTGGGATGAAGAAAAAGTGATGAGGAAAATTTCACTTGCTTCATTTCCTCCCACTCTAGGTGGTGAAAATATATCACCCATCAGGTTACATAATTGAGTTAGGTTGCTTTTGCAGTCCTTGGGAGTATATACTTGAGAGGTTTACAAAAGCAGAAGCATTTATGTTGGCTGCCTTCCATTATCCAGTATCTGGAAAGACTTTCATTTCAAAACACACAGAACAAGAAGAAGCAGGTCTCTCTACCGAGATCAAGCAGACAAGGTGCTATTTAAGCGGTGAAAACCCAACACACTATAAGTATTGCCAGCAAGGTCGCGTGCAATAAAAGAAACCCTGTCCGAGAGCTGAAGAGACCAAACTAATCTACTCATACAGTATTCTAGAAAGCAGTAAAGCTGGATTCATGCTGCCATACAGGTTTGAATTCTTTCCTTTAAAGGAGTACAATAGCTTTGAGAAGTGACCCCTCCCTAAGAGGGAGGGAGTGGGGAATCCATCTGCAAAATCAAACCTGAAAGGCAACTTTCAGCTAGTTCCAATCTGCTGGGAAGACCTGTCACTGTTTTTTCATCCCTTCCCTGCTAGGCTGAAAGTAGTTTAACCTCAATTACATAACTTTGAATGTTCATTCTGAGTACAGCAATGAGCTAGAAAACTCTGAACAGCCAATAGTGGAAGTTCTGAACTGGCAAGGCAAGACACATACAAATAATACAAGACAAAGACACATGCAAGAGAAGACACATACAAGACAAATATAGCCACCTTCTCCTGGCCAGAACGAAATTATATATGTGCTATTACTGAAAATAATAGACACAAGTTCTTATAGGCAAAGGTAGCCTAATCCATCCAAACAATGTTATGTATAAATATGCTTGTATTTATTGGGCAGGGGTGGAAATACCCATTGCTTATCTGTTCACAAGGGGCTCGAGATATTTAAGTTGAATAGGACTGCCTAGAACTGGTTCATAAAAATTCTAGTTTAATGGTTCTAAGTTGGATTTTTTAAAATTTTATGTTGTTAATGAAACAAATATGTAAATTATAGAAGAATATTAAACAGTGAATTCAGACTGGTCACAATAAGTTGTGTGGTTAAAAAAGTCAAGGTGGTGGACCACAATGCTGCGATCAAACTTTTGCTTTTTTTTTGTGATACATAAAAAAGGGATGGGATTTCATCTTGTTTATCATACCCTGTTACTGACTCACAAATCTAGATTTACTATCATGCTAGGCAACATAGTATTCCCTACCGCAGCTGAGCATTAAATGGTTTCTTTAAGGTCATCCAGACTGTTCTATGTAGGAAAGCTAGCATCTCTCACAGATGGATGTCCAGCTTCTGCCAAAAGATAACTGTTCCAACAGAGAACATCTAGCAAGCAAGATTCAAGTTTGCACTTATATTTGGCATATTGAACATAGGGTTAATTCTGGCTCTGGGAATCTCAATGTTCTGTTTACCAAGAAAGTTATTCTCTTTCTGCCTTAATGAAATCTCTGCCAACTGTCTCAGCAAGTGGCAGCATCTGACTGCTCTTGCTTGGTTTGGGCTCCCAAGCAGAGTTGGCCTGGTAATATTTGGATTGGAGACCTCCAGGGACTGCCAGAGTTGTAAATTCAACTGGGAAGTTAAGAAATCATCCTAGAAAAAATGGTAGAAAACCACTTTGTATTGATGCCAGAAAACTAGATGGATATTTCTGAGAAGCTACCAAAAGTCAAAATAAGTCAAAAGAGACTTTAACTTAAGCTAGGTGATATGGACTTAGCATTGCACTAAGTCATATTTGTTCTAAACCTGGCTCATTGAATACATTGGTTCATATATGCTTAAATCCAAGTAAAGATTATATCTATATCTATGCTATCACTGTCACTCAAAACTAAACAAGTCAGAGTTGTTTTAGTCCAATATGTGAAATTGATATGTTTGTCCTCCCTCTAATGAATCATTAGCACTTATTTAAAATCAAGGAGCATTTTTGCCAGGAGAACAGGACAGGTAAAATGTTTACCCTTCTATTGGAGATTTAATTTCTAAATATTCACTGCTAGGTTTAAGCACTTTGGTTATAAAATCTTTTAATGCAATAAATCATTTAGACTTAAAATGTAAATTTCATGCATGTCACTTTACTGTATGTGTTACCTAATCCTATTCCTTAGCTTAAGAAGGACCATGGCATCAATACAGAATTACTAAAATTCTGATCTTTCTTCAACAAGAACTGCTAGTGAACCCTGTTACTGAGGCATGGAGAGATGAATTCAGTTCAGCTTTAAGTAACTTTAACTGAAGTGGAATTCAGTTGTGCTTTTATTCTCCAAGGGCCTTGGGAATATGTTATGTCCTATTCTAACCAATAGAAGTATGCATTTCATCAACAAAAATGAACATTAGTCAATCCTTCTTCAGGGATTGTATATGGTACTCTGTTACAAGCAGAACTCACAAGATACTGAAAACACTGCTCTCCAACAACCACACTTGAATTTATCACCTGCCTTCAACTTCTACTTTCATTAACCAGACATTAACCAGACATTGCTTCAGGTTTGTTTGTCTGGTTGCCAGCAAGTGAAACTGAAAACCAGTGAGTCAAAAATTCCTTGACAATGGCATTTTTAGAGGGACATTTGAAGAGACAATAAGGAGGAATAATTGGACAAGCAGTTGCAAGTACGATAAACTATACGTTATGTCGATCATGTCATTCAAAAGTGATCCATATATGAAATAGGTTTCATACAGTGGTGAGATTCAGCCAGTTCGCACCACTTCGGCAGAACCGGTAGCTAATTTTTTGTTGCCCAGGCCCAGAATGGACTTCCGGAAGTGGCATCCACACAGAGAACCGGTTGTTCACATATTTGAATTGCACCACTGGTTTCATATCATGTCTGTTCTGAATAAAGAGAGAATTCAGGTGCTTATTTTCGTACTGGCAAACAAACAAACAAAAATAACCTCATAAATAAAAGATAAAGATGCTTGAAGAACCTGGTCTCATGTGACCACACTCCAGGAAAGGGTTACAGATTAACTACAGCCTGAAAGTTGAAATCACATCATTCCTTACTTATAATATCAACCTCAGCATTTGCAAGCGGAGGCAGGTTAGGTGAGGAAAAGGCACTGAAACTCCCTGCATCCATCTTAGTCACCCGGTTTCCCCTGTACAGTTTATTATCAAAGTACAGGCACACCTACAAGGATGAGAAAAGAAGCATGTCAGTGTGCAAGCCTTGTAATTAAAATATCCAGCAGATTAAAACACACACACACACATAAAGTTGACTTTTCTTTCTATACAATGAAAACTACTTTAGAGAGAGTTATAAATATAATTAAGGTTATGTAGGAGGGTTTTATCTCTTGGCAGCTTTGAAAAGTGCTGTGTCTCGTTTGGATTTTGACAACAAAATACAAGTAAACTCCTTGTGAGATTTCCTTCCAAGAACAGGTTTGGCAGCTCTCAAGATATGTGATGGATCTCTGAAGTTATTTTTAAAGGGGGTAGAATGGGCTTTTAATAATGTGCAAAATCCCTCCAGAAGTGTTGATATTCTTGACAGAGCAGACAACGTTGAGTTACTAGAAAGGCAAGCAGAAAATGAGTTTACCTAGATATCAATCAGGTTTCTGGGTTTCCCTCTGTCCAGATTGTCACAGCCTATTGGTCATTATGCCACTACAGATTAATCCCCATGGAAATTCAGAGTGAGAAACCTTTTACTAAGTAATTCCCAATCACTCTAGACCAGAGTCAATGTTAAGGAATACTAAAAGCTGTATACTAGACACATGTGGAAGGCCATAGATTCATCACATCTGAAATAATCTATGCATTTTCCTATCATATTTAATTCAAATAATTGGTAAGTTTCAAACCTTATGAAGTTGATTTTTGACAACCATTTATTTTTTGAGGCTGTATATTAAGCATTGTCACACTGAAGTAGAAGGACCTTATAGTACTAACTTTTGTTTTTTAAAAAACTAATTGCGAGAATAGGCAGTACCTATATAACCATTAAAATGATTGGGAAATCCAATATTCTTATGTGAACTGCAGGAAACTACTATTTGTAATATTAGAACTCATCAGCTCTAACATTCAAGCAGAATCTGCTTTCCTGTAATTTTTTTAAGTGTTTCTTAAAATGTAGTGCCAAGACCTGGACAATACCTCTGGGCAACAGAAGTAGGAATCTCACCAATGCAAAACATAGATCGTTAGCTGAGTTAAAGCAAGAAAATATTGTACAGTCTTGGTTTCAGTATACCCAATTGTTGGTTAGGTGGAAGTTAGATCAAAAGGTTGGTATTACATTAATGGATGAGAATTTGGTAAAACAGATTAAAGATCAAAATCGAGCGCATATAAAGAGAATTTATAATGCTTTAATAGAGATGGATTCGGAAATGGAA